TCTGAGAATAGCAGGGCCATGGAAGCATAAACACAAACAGGCATAAACAAGTATTTGTGTGAATAGGTGAATGTGTGCTCCTGCATGTCTAAATAACAATGACTTGCAATTCGTCATTTTCAAACAAGGGTCTATAAACATGCCGTGCGACTTTATGGAATAGTATAGTTTGTGCAGAAGTAATCATTTTTCTAATCGAACACGTGCATTTTTATGACCGAAATGAGATAACTGGATGTGTTGTTCGCCTGTGAGCTGCAATACTATTGATATTCCAATAGATTATGTATCAGAAGGACAGGATCCCTGCTGACTCAATTAGTGCATATTGCTCTCCGAGGCATTGATAAATCTGTGCAAGCAMAGACATCCATGCTGTCAGAATCTGCATATGATTTTGTGTGTATATATACTGTGTAAAATTCTGTTTTCATGTATTTAGCTTTATGATAACAGACTTTGGGATTGATAAATATATTCCATTAAAACTGAGGAAGAGTTTATACATTTCAGCTTGTTTAAATTAGTAAGATWAATTAAATCTGATTTAAAGAGGAATGTTTGGAGGAATTAAGGTAAAGGATGGGTTGTGTAAACTCATTGGGTTTATAACTATTCCAGTTTGCACCTGCCAGTTCCCAGTGCAGACGCTGAGTGCCCTGAACATTCCCACATAAATCCTTCTGTTTGTCTGTGCATTCATGAGTAAAGGTACATGAAGAGATGCTGACCAGACCCTGTAGATTCCCAGAGCCTCAGAAAAGATTTGAAATGGAAAATCTCAAAAACCCAAGATACACTGTAACTCAGGGTTGGCAGGCTGAAGAAATAGCTCTATAACATGTTGTCTTTCTGTTGTAGCTTTCTGAATGGTTAAGTAAATACTGTCAAGTTTCCTGGCGCTCATGGTCTTCATTAATATGGCAGCTTTATACAATATAGTATTTCTGCTCAAAGTGATTTATGTCTGAGTCACCACTGGGTCTCCGGAGGATAACAAAAGCTGAATCTTAGAAATTACAGCTTATTGTACCAGAGTTGAAGATAAAGTTATCTAAACACTCTCAACCATGGTTTTATCCACATACAACATATCCAGCAATGAGGGTAAAGATCAGTTTAGTTTATACATTGATGTGATTTAGCTACATTTTGAACTTTGATTTTTAAATGACATGTCTGTGGCATTCATGCTTCATTCTTCCCAACTTCCTCAATGCACCTGTCAAAGTGTTCTTATGTAACTGAACTGCACACTGACCATAATGGTGAACTAATAGATGATTTTAATGTTGTTAATGTTATGTGAGTTGCAGTTCAACAGGCAGACTAAATATTGAATTTGTCCATAATGGTGCCATAAAATGTATTTTTTTTTCGTTTTGTTTATTACCA